CTGGTGTATATATACCAAAGGATTTGGAGACTTGTAAATTTGTTTTTATGCGTGTTATTAATAAAAGATCATTGCAACAACCATACGAAGGACCTTATAAGGTTGTTGAAAAAAACAAAAAATGTTTCAAACTTGAAGTAGATAATGAGGTTAAAACAATTCCAATAGACAGACTAAAACCGGCAATCATTGAAACAGAACTAATACCAGAAACAAACACTAATACAATGAATAACACAACATCAAATAAGAAACGAGTTACTTTTAATTTATATAACATTAATTCTCTAGAAGGGGGAGTATTGTAGGGTTTGTATTTGTGTTATTACCTTTTATTGTACTGTGTTCATTTCAACTTTGTAATTTTGGAAATTTTAGATTTATGTGATTTTTGTAGTTCGTCAATCAAATAGAAAATTTTTATTATTCAAACTTTTCTCGAATTGCTAACATTATAAAAATAAATTAAGTTTTGTTAATAAAAAATTCTTTTAATAAAACTACATTTGAGACTACACGTAGAATCACTCTTGCCAACAAGTGCTACTTGGGACTGAGTAGGCAATTCAGGAGTAAAGTCCTCTCTCGACGTACGAAAACCACGCTCTATAAGTCACTCATCATGCCCGTGCTGGTATATGGCGCAGAAGCATGGACAATGACAACATCCGATGAGGCGGCTCTTGGGGTGTTTGAGAGAAAGATTTTGCGGAAGATTTACGGTCCTTTACGCGTTGGCGACGGCGAGTACCGCAGACGATGGAACGATGAGCTGTATGAGCTTTACAACGATATGGACATAGTGCAGCGAATTAAAATACAGCGGCTCCGCTGGCTTGGTCATGTCGTTCGAATGGACACCGACGCTCCAGCTCTGAAAGTATTCAACTCGGAACCCGCTGGTGGTAGCAGAGGAAGAGGGAGGCCCCCACTGCGATGGAAAGATCAGGTGGAGAAGGACTTGGCTTCACTTGGCGTTTCCAATTGGCGTCAGTTGGCACAGAGGAGAAACGACTGGCGTGCTTTGCTGAACTCGGCCAAAATCGCTTAGGCGGTTACAGCGCCAAAAAGAAGAAGTGTAATTTAAATTCAGTTGAGTTTGACACTTTTCAAGATTTTGCCAGCAAAAATTCTTCTGACTAAATCTCACTACTTCGGACTGAAGAGAGTCACTCTCACTGAGTGTTGCTCTCATATTTTTGCTGTAATTTTCGAGTTAAGGAACGCTTTTTGGACTAAATCTGACTACTTCGCGCTTTTTCTGACTATTTCTGGGAGATAAGGAACGCAACTATAATAAAACAAGTTTCCATAGTAGCGATAGTATCGATAGTGCAGCTAAACTATCGCAAACTATCGAGTGGCCCCACTATCGATAGTTTGAAAGCTCTAATTTATACATACAAAGTTTCGGTTGAAAACCGAAATAATGCGTATGAAAAGAAAACCGAAAAAATTCATACATGAACAGTTTCGGTTGAAATCCGCAATAATGCATGTAAGAAAAAACCGAAATGCGAATGCGTGCACAGTTTCGGCTTAAAACCGAAGTAAAGCATATGAGAAAAGTGAAGTAATGCATACATGCCCAGTTTCGGTTGACAACCGAAATAATGCATATGAGAAAAACCGAAATAGTTGTAAGCCTGTAAGTTGTAAAGCGAAATCAAAAAATGAACTTCTTTCTGCGTAGGCGGTCTTTGGCCGTGCTCTAACTAAGTAGACTTCTCCTTTCTGTGTTGCCGGAAAAGAGCGGCGCATAGTGTAAGATTTTGGCCAATATAACTGCTTTTAATTCTGTATTTCGATAACTATTGAAGATAAATTAATTAAATATTGCACAAGGTACGATATAAGATAGGCGAAGCTTTTTTACAAAAAAATGGGTCATTTAGAGACAAATCGGTCAAAAGAAGGCAAAATCTGAAATATTAATTAACTACAAAAGCTAAAATGCCAAAAATTTATATTTAGAATTTCCTTACAGCAAGGAATTTTAAACTGACAGAAATGGACTTAAAAATATATATGTTTTTTAATTATGGGCTGGGCAAATATCGATAAAATGTCAAGTTGGGTCAACCGAGTTCTCTTATAAGTTAAATATTTTCAAAGAACGTGAATCTACAAAAAGAGACAGCACGTTATAATTGTAGCCTGCCTTCTCTTTTCATCCAATCAAAAAACGTATTTTGGCAAAAGAGAAGGCGCTCTCCTGATGTTAACACTCGCTACAACTATAACGTGTTGTCTCTTCTTGTAGATTTACGTTCTTTGATATTTCTTGTCCTATTTACAAAAAAGGTCCCATTGGAAAGGAAATGAATCAAGCTTTCCCTATTCAAAAGCAAAAATACAAAAATTTGTTTCGGTCGAAATCAAATGCAAATGAATTACTCGAAGAAAATGAAATTCCTAGCACGCTTGAAAAAAGAATATTTCATCCAAACCAGCACTTTCCAGCAGCTAAAGTTGTGGTGTTTAAAGTTAAGGAGGAGTGGCAAATAAACTGAGATTCAAACTTTATCGAATAATTGCGGATAACGAGTTTGCCTGTCTAATGAAATAAATAAATTGCAAAACATTAATGTAAGTTAACCTCGTTTTACTTTAACATGAAATACTCAGCCCTCAGTTTTCTAAAATCCCAAAAATGTATATGCATAAAAAAGGACATAGATACAAACAAATAAGACCAAAATGGTATTTTAACAATTGTTGCATAAATCGCAAAATAGCAACAACTTAAACATTGAAATTCAGTTTCAAATATACAAGTATAAATATTATTGCGCTTGGCAATTTTCCAAATCAAATCCTCTCCCGCCATACACCTTGATATAAATTTTCTTTTTGTTACTATTTCGTCTTTACTAAGCATTTCCAAATGCATTTTTGTTGCTGTTTCGAAATTTAGCGATATAAAATAATTGAATAAATATCTTATAGAAAATGGAAATAGTACACTGTGCGGCGGAAGTAATTTTGCGTAGAATTTCTTTCTGAGTAGGCGGCCTTTGGCCGCGCTTAGGGATTATCACCCTTGTTAAGTAGAATTCTTCCTTGTATGTTGCGAGGGGCGGATGTATATTTAGGCAGAACTTCTTTCAGCGTAGGCGGCCTTCGGACGCGCTTAGGGATCATAACCCTTAAAGTGAAAGTACATAACGTGCATTGCGTCACCGTCACCGACACCGTCAATGACAGCGTCAACGGTGCTTATGCGTCAAGTTACACACTATACGTTCGACATTGCGTCTATAAAATCATAAAATAAAAATATCTAAGAATTTTGAAGTGAGGTGATTTGTGTGCCACAATGGAGAATGAATTCAATGTCTTTAGCGAATTTGTCGTTGCAACGAAAGAAGCGCTTCTGGGTGCGTGAACTGTTTTTGGAGAGGGACATAAGTGGACTTTTTGCCTCGTCGTTCAACCAGATAAAGAGCGATGTGGAAATGTTTTCGATTGCTACAAAGATGAGCCCTGACTGTTTCCATAGTTTATTGAAGCCAAAATTGGAGAAGAATTCCGCGAAGTTAGCCATTGCAAGAAATTGTAGCACGCAAACAGTATGTACTAATGAAATCAATTTAGATATTTGGCTCGCGGCTGCAGCAAGCAATATCTATCCTTAACATTCAAAATCTCCGTGTCAATAGTCCCACGAATTGGAAACTTGCCAGGCGATATGGGACGACTTAAGCCAACTATGTATGTATATATTTCGCCACCGAATGGAAGAAATTGCAGAGGACTTCAGAATCATGTGGGATCTACCTAATTGCGTTGGCACCGTTGGAAAGGATGTGGCATTAACATGCCCCCCGAATTCTGGTTCTATGTTTTACAATTATAAAGGTAAGATACCAAACCTTTCTAGAAAATCAGAATAATATACAGTTACTCCCAAAATTGAGCGTACGGCTCTTTTGTTAATATTCGCAATGTTTTACATGATACAATTTTTTTGTTGATTTTGTATTAAAATATGGTATATATTTTAGCAAATTCCATTTAAAGAAGGGTTCGGAAATATTCATATATGAACGTTCGCGAACATACATTTATGATTTTATACGCGAAGGTGAACATATCAAATATTCTGTATTAATTCTCCTTCGCGAACGAGAAACATAAAACCAGTCCAGATAGTTCGCGTTCGCGAATAATAGGTATAAAAACTTTCCGCTTTTGTTCGTACGCGTATGTATTGGTGGCCCAAACAGCGTTCATATATGTACCCAGCAAAAAATTTTGCACCGCTTCGGAATGCAATCGATGTTAGAATGCCTTGCCTTGGAATGGAGAAATATCGTTCGCTTCTTCATTCATGCTTAGAAGGCAGAGTGGAATATCTATCGGAGAATATCGTTCCCTTCTTCATTCATTGCTCAGGAGGCAGAGTGGAATATCTGCACATGTGTATATTTTATGTATACCAATATCGCCGTTCGTTGCTCTCAAACACAATTTGTTGTTTTAAAATAACGCTACTTTGATAGAAACTTCGACTGTAATTGTTGCCAACTTATATTCTATGCTAGGAAATATTCAGTGTATTCGTCTAAATATGAAATGCCCCTAAACCATGCTAATTTACCCACTCGTTAGCTCCCTGCCAAAATTTGTATGAAGTTGTTAACACAAATTTAAGCGACGAATCCAGTGCACAAAAAATGAGGCAAACTTCAGCGAAGGAAAAGTCGAAATACATAGAAATGTTAAAAATAAGCCTATCATCAGATTTTAAAAATACTTAACATACGCAAAACAATGAGAAATTTTTAAAAAATAATAATTTTTTAAGACTTTCTAAATGAAATTTTTGTTATTTGAAAAATTTCAGTTTCATACATATGTACATACATAAATTTTTTCACTAATTATCATCGTAAGATGTTCATATAAAAATTATATAAAATATCTTAACCAACTAAAATTTATATTACGTATAATTTGCTTAAAAATGTTTGCATTATACATGGATATGTCGACAAATGTCATAATCCTCCACTTTAAAATTTTCATCGTGCTATTCAATAAGTTGGCCACCCTCATCAACATTGCTCGGTGCGTAAGAACTATGCGCAGCGTCATTAGTATTTGCGAATTCGGTGCAGTTACATCGCGAGTCTTGTGCAAATAACAAAAAGGTAAAAATGATTAGCAAGCGTCATCTTAAACGTTTAGTAAAAAAACAAAAAAGTGAAATTAATAAAAAAATTGATGAAAATCGTTGGAAAAATATGTGCTGTGTACTAATGGGAAATGAAAATAGTGAAAATGCGAGAAGAATAGCTGAATCTGGTAGTGAGAGTGTAAATGGTGAGAATAGAATTGTAGAATTGGAGCCGAAGACGCTTGAATCCAAGCTAAAATATTGGTTCCAGGAATTTACACCTTCGTTTCGTTGTTGCGCGAGCTTATTAAATATTTTAAAAAGCGAAAACCTGAATGTGCCTCTAAGTGTTGGGTCTTTGTTAGATCACCCCGAAAAATGTGTAGCGCCCACCGCTTCCATATTGGCGTAAAAATACAATTGAAAAAATTAGCAAATGAAATTCTTCAGGAAAATCCAACTGCAGTTCAATTACATATAGGAATTGACGGTTTACCCTTGTTTAAGAGCTCGCAGGTTACTTTGTGGCCAATTTTGGGTCGAGTTGCCAATATTAGGTGTAAAACAGTGTTTTTAATTGGATGCTACGTTGGTAAAAAGAAGCCTTATAATATTGAAGTTTACCTTCAGGATTTTGTAGAGGAAATCAAGGGACTATCGGTTGATGGTATTTCACTCAACAATGTAAGCTATAAAGTTGTAATTCGAGGGAATTTCTGCATCCAAAAGACTTTTTCGCAACACCTGTTCCTTCCTGGGACCTTGGAATCAGTGTCGTAAGTACTGCAAGCTGTGGCCCAGAAGATATATATAATATACAAGATATTCACTGCAAATTAGTAGGTCTACCGTTTAAAGAAAATATTATTTTGTTACCATTAGTGCACAGCTACATATAATTCTTATAAACATATTTCAAATTTCCTGCAAGAGTTTTTGATTATGACACTCTTGCAACAAATGTGCGATATATATAATACATATATATTATTAAAAATTAATGAATATAACTTTAAATAAATTGAGATTGACTGATTGATATTACAAGCAAACGCATAATATGGCTGAAATTAAAAAATTGACGAAATAATTTGCTGAGTTACAAGGTAAGAACGTTTTTGATATTTAAATTCTTATCATATCTACATATCAATACCCAATATCGGCAATTCTCACAAAAACTACTTTGTGATGTTAGAAGACATTTGGTACTTACCTGTCATCACTGGTGTTAATTCTGACTTTGCAATTTAATTTGTTAGAAGTGCAGATAGAGGGTATTGAATATAAGCCCTCGATATGTATGTGTGTACATATACTTATTTTACAATAATTTCAGAATCACTATTGGAACAAACCAGGCAAATACAGTCATGGAGAAAAACTTTATGTTGGAAAACTTAAACTCGGAAATAGCTGCAATGAAAGGTATCTATCATAATAAACGAAATGTAAGAACATATCCACTCACTACAGCTTAAGTCGATAGTTTGACTTTAATGTAATGTTCCACATCCACACACACACACCCCACACAAATAACAGAAATAAGTTATGTCTTTAACTCAATATGCTGTTTATTTTACAGATTCCAATAAAAACGACATGGAGGTACTGAAAAACGTCTTATCTGAGCAAGTCGTACTATTAAAAAAGGTGGCGCAAGACTTATTTCCAAGCGATAAGTATTCTGCAATTTTCCCTATAACAATCCAACATGATTTGGATGACGTAGAAGATTCAATCACCGCAGAAAGTCACGATCAAATGGTATAATATTTAATTTAAATAATTTTACATTAATTTTAGTCCTGTCTTTATTTAGATTTCTAGCGTATTTAATTTAATTAAATCTGGGGGACTAAAATCCAACATACGCTCAATTTTTGCTGAGAAAATTGTAATGAATTACAATTTTGAGGGAAGGCAGCGGAAAAAATCTTTAAAAGCGTATCCAAAGCTGATGGATATTTTATTTCGTAAGTACCTTCTTTATATATATTCTATATAATGCATACGTGCGCTCGCTCCATTATATCTGCGTACACCCTTATTTTTTTAAACACAATGTTTTGCAAGCTATATACAAAATTAAGGAAAAATTAATGAATTTTCATCGAAATTTTAAACTTTTTACTCAGCTTTTTTGAGACAATTTCTGGTATGCAGTTTCATAGCCCATTCAATTTTGGTATAATAAAGTGCAAGTTTCAAGTGGCTTGAAAATACTTTTGATTTTTAATATTTTTTTTTTGCTGACGGCTCTAGGCATTTTTCTCCATACAAGGTATGAGCGAAGTATTTTTTATATGGAAGAGAATGCCTAGCATCGTCAACAAAAACAATTGTCAAAAATCAACGGTATTTTCGAGTCACTTGAAACTTGCACTTTATTATACTAAAATGGGCTATAAAACTGCATACCAGAAATTTTCTCAAAAAAGCTGAGTAAAAAGTTTAAAATTTCGATGAAAATTCATTAAATTTTCCTTAATTTTGTATACACTTTGAAACTTTGGTTTTGTTTGCAGCATGATCCGTATTTTTGTAAAAAAATATCAAAAAAATTATAACTTGCAAAACATTGTGAATGTTTAACAAACAAGGGTGTACGCAGGTATAATGGAGCGAGTGTTTGTATGTATATATGTTCCTAGGTATGTATATACTCCTCTGATAATATGATCTATATTTTTTATTTAATAGGAGCTTCACAAAAGCTGGGGAAAGACCAAAAAGAATTCGAGGCAGATCTTAAATTTGGTTTGAAAGCTGTGAAAAATAAGTACCATAAAGCCAATACTCTAAGGAGAAAACTTCAGCACAATAAAAACAACGAGAAAGAGGAAATTGAAGAAGACGAAGAAAACGAAGAATCATATAGTTCGGAGTAAACATTATTTATTAGTTTACTTTATTTATGTTATCTTACTAATGAATTTTTTTCCAATTGACTGAATTCACTTTAAGTTTAAAATTTGTTTTCATATATGTAGTTTAGTATTTAACAAAAACCGTATAAATCCTAAATTGAAACTTTGTGCAATATTTTAAAAAGAATGAACCCACTTTCGTAAAAACGTCGAGCGTTTTATTTAGATTTCGGAGAAATATTTTGAGAGGCCCATAAGCAAAAAAAAAATATCCAGAAGTCAATGCGCTTTTTAAGCCACTTCGAACATGCACTTTATTTACCACCACTATATGGGCTACAAAAGTGCATACTCAAAATATTTCTCTGAAATATTATTAAAACGCCCGAAGTTTTTACGAAAGTTGGTTGATTCTTTTTAAAATATTGCCCAAAGTTCGAATTTTGAATTTATGCGGTTTTTGTTAAAGACTAAACTATATTCCTATAACAAAATAAGTTAAATAACAAAAAAATGAGTTGCTTACACTTGTCAATATGTGGTGCGCTTATACATAATTACAACGCAGTGTTTTCTGGAACGCAACTATTATTTGGTTTATTTTACAATTTGCAACACTGCACAAGTGTTTCAACAGCGTATGAATTATTTTTTATGTAGTTTTAATTTGTTTAATTACACGATGCTATAGTGACAATGTGGTATTCCAAACATTTTTGTATTTTTAGCACTGTGTTATCACATACATGTATAGTATGTAAGCCTATCAAATTTGCAAGACTGAATATTTCCTATATTTTGTATTATTTTTCAATATACATTCAATCAATAAAGTTTAGGTACAGAGAGTTTTTTTCAATACGGGAAAAAGTTAGCGATAGATAAATTATTTAAAAAACAATTGCCCGTATTGCCAAAAACTCTCTGTAACTAAACTTTATTGATTGACTGTATACAAGATGCGCCTCAACTGAATTTAAAGGAAAATTTCGATTACTAAAAATGGCTTTGTGTATTCTGAATCTAGATTTTTTCTAATTTATTTTATAACAAAATTAAAAAAATCAGTGGATAGCTTTTTGCAAAAAAATCATTTTTATTAGTTTAAAAAAAATAATTTTGACTTATTCTAAAAAAATCTACCAAAAATCCAGTTTGGCAGCTACATATTCCCGATTAGACGCATTTTGTGCACTTATTATATATTATCTAGCTTATATAGATTATCTAGCTTCCAAGCCCAATTTTTGATAGATTTTTTAAAATTTAAATTCAGTTCAGGCGCTCTGTGGATAACGCAAGCACCTTATCAGTACAATTTAGAAACTTGTAATAAATGTGTAACATTAGATCAAAAAATACTATTGAAATAATAATAAAAGTTTGTTTTTTTATAATTTCTGCGTTTGCTTCTCAGTAATCAAAAGATCAAGGTCTTCTATAGCTGCTTCTCAGTTTATTAGTAATGAAGGCTTTCTGCGTTCACTTCTCTACAATGGAAAGATCAAGGTATTCTTCGGTCGCTTCTCAGTCCACAAAATCGAAGCCTTTGTACGTTCGTTTCTAAGTAAGCGAGAGCGCATGCAATTCTTCATTCGTTTCTCGGTGCATCAATACAGCAAGACCTTTCACTTCCGCTTCTGAATGGTAAAATAGCAAGGCGTTACCGCCAATGACATGCCTAGGTTAAATCAATGCCTTCTGGAAGTGAGAGTAGAAGCGATTGGTAACCATTTTCTCGATTCCAAGTTCACTTCTGAGGTAAGTGAGTTTTTTGCTGGGTAGCTATAAGTGACAGCGATGCCTTCACGAAGGTTCACTGCTGTCGTTATCTTTCATAAGTGAATGTAAACGCTGCGGCAAATATTCGCGGAAAGTTGGTGTGGCTAGGTATACCATTCTGTGCGAAGGCAATTTTGTTAATTGCATAAGATTTGCACCGTTCATTCGATTTTCAAAAATGAGGTGTCAAATGAAGGGGCTTGGTCCCTGGATGTGTAGTAAGGATATATTTTTTAATAGGGTTGCCACCTGCGTTTAAAAACATAATATTTACACCGTTCTCCCGATTTTCAAAAATGAGGTGTCAAATGAAGGGGCTTGGTCCCTGGATGTGTAGTAAGGATATATTTTTTAATAGGGTTGCCACCTGCGTTTAAAAACATAATATTTACACCGTTCTCCCGATTTTCAAAAATGAGGTGTCAAATGAAGGGGCTTGGTCCCTGGATGTGTAGTAAGGATATATTTTTTAATAGGGTTGCCACCTGCGTTTAAAAACATAATATTTACACCGTTCTCCCGATTTTCAAAAATGAGGTGTCAAATGAAGGGGCTTGGTCCNATTTGCACCGTTCATTCGATTTTCAAAAATGAGGTGTCAAATGAAAGGGCTCGGCCTCTGGACGTGCAGTAAGGATATATTTTTTTAATGGGATTCCCACCAGCGTTAAAAAATATGATATTGACACCGATCTCCGATTTTCAAAAATGAGGTGTCAAATGAAAGGGCTTGGCCTCTGAACGTGCAGTAAGGATATATTTTTTTAATAGGGTTGCCAACTGCGTTTAAAATTATGATATTTACACCGTGCTCCCGATTCTCAAAAATGAGGTGTCAAATGAAAGGGCATGGCTTCTGGACGTGCAGTAAGGATATATATTTTTTAATAGGGTTGCCACCTGCGTTTAAAAACATAATATTTACACCGTTCTCCCGATTTTCAAAAATGAGGTGTCAAATGAAAGGGCTTGGTCTCTAGATGTGTAGTAAGGATATATTTTTTAATAGGGTTGCCACCTGCGTTTAAAATTATGATATTTACGCCGTTGTACCGATTTTAAAACATGAGGTGTCAAATGAAATGGCTTGGGCTCGGGACCTGCAGTAAGAATACATTTTTTTAATAGGTTTGCCACCTGCGTTTAAAAACATGATATTGACACCGTTCTCCCGATTTTCAAATGAGGTGTCAAATGAAAGGGATTGGTCTCTAGATGTGTAGTAAGGATATATTTTTTAATAGGGTTGCCACCTGCGTTTAAAAACATGATATTGACACCGTTCTCCCGATTTTCAAATGAGGTGTCAAATGAAAGGGCTTGGCGTCTGAACGTGCAGTAAGGCTATATCTTTTAATAGGGTTGCCAACTGCGTTTAAAATTATGATATTTACACCGTGCTCCCGATTCTCAAAAATGAGGTGTCAAATGAAAGGGCATGGCTTCTGGACGTGCAGTAAGGATATATATTTTTTAATAGGGTTGCCACCTGCGTTTAAAAACATAATATTTACACCGTTCTCCCGATTTTCAAAAATGAGGTGTCAAATGAAGGGGCTTGGTCCCTGGATGTGTAGTAAGGATATATTTTTTAATAGGGTTGCCACCTGCGTTTAAAAACCTGATATTTTCACTGTTCTCCCGATTTTCAAATATGAGGTATCAAATGAAAGGGCTTGACCTCTGAATGTGCAGTAAGTATATATTTTATAATAGGGTTGCCACCTGCGTTTAAAATTATGATATTTACACCGTTCTCCCGATTTTCAAAAATTAGGTGTCAAATAAAAGGGATTGACCTCTGAACGTGCAGTAAGGATATATTTTTTTTATAGGGTTGCCACCTTCGTTTAAAAACATGATATTTACACCGTTCTCTCGATTTTCAAAAATGGGGTATCAAATGAAAGTGCCTGGCCTTTAAAAGTGCACCAAGGCTTTTATTTTTGAATGCGGTAGCCTTCTGCCAAAAAGTTATAATGATTACACCGTTTTCCCGGTTTTAAAAAACGTGGGGTCAAATGAAGTGTCTTTGCCTACAGGTGTGCTAGAGGGTTTATATTTTTCGTAAATGCTGTTTTCACCAACTAGTTAAGGCATTGCTATGCAGATGGTTGTTCTTACCAAAGTTAAAATTGCGTTTGCTTTACATGCATGTGTATGTATATACTTTGGTGCATTTATCCATCTCTACCTACATATGTACAATATTTGTACACATGGGCGTAGCCAGGTAGGGGCAGGGGGTGCTCGAGGCCCCCTAACTTTCAAATTTTCATTATATATATGTAAAATAGTACCCTGAAATGCCAGCTTAATACATACATATGAACATTCTACAACTATGTATGCATGTGAAAAAAATTTTGTCGATGGTGTTATTATTTTCTTCCATACATGTTAGGTAGAAGGCATTTTCGCTGTTATTCATAAGCGAAATTTGTCTACCCAACATATGCGAAAGCTGTTTGTTTAAAACTATTTGTACATACTTGCAATAATTGTGAGGGCTATGCTCATATGCAGGTGGAACCGCAAATATTGCTGTTGAATGATGTTTTTCTATAAAGATTTCTGAGAAATACTAACGATACGCTTATGGGAAATAATGCATTCATTGCTGAACTTTTTTAAATACTTCTTCCTTTATTTGCAGGATCACTTAATTGGGACACGTGATATGATAAATAAAATTGGTAAGCCATCAGAAGACCAGTACGGCTACAGTTCTCCAGATTTTCCAACCCAGTCGTTCCCCAAAATGAACTACCCTACACATCGAAAGGCATATATGACATACTGACGCTGAAAGCAATGGGAAATACACAAGGTCCAACACCACAAAGAAGAGAAATGGCCTTTAAGGAAAGACTAGCTAAACTTTGCGATAGGGAAATGGAGCCATTTGATGGCAATATTTTGGACTCATGTCGAAAATTATATCGGATCATTCCGATATGTTACAATTAATGGAAGTTGTACTAGCCATACCTGCAACACAAGTTTCTGTTGAAAGAGCGTTCAGTGCACATTCAACAATATTAACTAAACTTCGAACAAAACTTTCAAAGAAACCGCTGTCAAACGTATTAATTACAAAATTAAACTTTGAGCTCCTAAATTTTTCAACACTAGATGTTTAAGATAGCAACTAAGCAAAACTATTTGTTTTAATCAGCTTTTATTTACATACATATGTATATTCGTATACAAATTTCAGTGCAGAATTTAATAAATAT